GAAAAGTCGAATGGTGGACGACGGCAGAGAAAGACAGAGAGTGTGTGTGAGAGAGAGAGAGAGAGAGAGAGAGAGAGAGAAAACAACAACGTAAACTTTAAACCTTAAAAAACAAAAAAAAAAAACAAAACAATAAAAATTTCGAAAATCTACAACAACGGATTAATGTTAAACAATCAATAATAATAATAATAATAATAATAATAATAATAATAATAATAATAATAATAATAATAATAATAATAATAATAACGCAAATAAAAAAAAATAAAAAAAGGAAAACGAGGAAATAGAAAAACATCAGTCCTATCATCGGGGGTACCAACCAAACTCTTAGATGAAGAAAATGCAAAATAATAGCCGAAAGGTAATTTTCAATTAAGTAAAAGAGAGAAGAGAAGAGAGAGAGAGAGGAAAAAAAACGGTAGCGGTTAAATAATAATAATAATAATAACGACAACAACAACAACAACAACAACAATAATAATAATAATAATAAAACCGCTTATGAAAATTTTTTCGATTTAATTGAGCGCACGGCATAATTTAATTAATTTTAAATTTAACGCCTCAAGGTACCGGTGGAAATCAATAGCCCCGCCGCCGCCGCCGCCGCTTCTTCTTCTTCTTAAAAGAACAAGATAACTTATTTCAGGTTTCTTTTTTTTTTTTTTTTACGACCGAAAAAAAAAAAAAGATGTTAAGTCCGAAGAAAATTATTATAACATGTAGGAGGTAAAAAAAAAAAAAAAAAAAAAAAAAAAAAATGAAATTATTATTTAAAAATAATAAATAACGACGACGAAACGTTAATACTCCCCTCCCCCTACTTGAATTCATTTAATTTCATAATATTGTTCGAAAGGAGGGGAAGGGGGGAAAGGCAAAAGTACCACCATATCTCATATGAAATAACCGAATATGTGATGATGAAGTCAAAACGATTGAGATTGAACGTCACGACATAAGAACACACACGCACACACACGCATGTGAAACGACAACAACAACAAAAAAGACAGAAAAAGAAAAAAAAAAAAGAGAGAGAGAGAGAGAAAGAGAGACAGAAAGAAAGAAGAAGAAGAAAAAAAAAAGGTTTCTGCATTGTGAGGTCCTTTATAAAGTATAAGACAGCCCACAAAAACAAGTCGGTATTTTTAAAAAAGACAAAGGCACGATCTTTTGAGCGAACCGCATTCCGAAGTGGTAGGTGCACGCTTCAAAGACCAGGTCGATACCTCAACTCTAAATGTCCAACATTTTTCAACTAAAAAGTCCTTTTATCATCATTATTATTATTATTATTATTATTATTTCTTTTCTTTTCTTTCGTCCGGACTTTTTTTTTTCTTTTTTTTTTTTTTTTCCTTCAAAGAACTCTGTTTTGAAGAAAAAAGACAAAGTGCTTTCTTCTTCTTCTCCTTTAAAAAAAAAATTTGTCTTCGGCAAACAACAACAACAACCGCAACCTATTACACTCATTTTCAAACGAATAATCTACTCTCGGGTACTGTTACTCGTTCGTTACATTTTACAACTATAGAAGATTCTACCAAAAAAAAAAAAAAAAAAAAAAAAAAAAGGGGGGGCACATGCCATTTAGCAAGTTGATAATTGAATTCTAATACGACAAAGGTAATAATAATAATAATAATGATGCCATGTGGCGGCGTCCCGAATAAAAAAAAAAAATTTTTTTTTTTTTTAAAAAATTCCAAGAAAAAAAAACGTTTTTTTCCTTTGAAAAATTTAAAAAAAAAAAAAAAAAAACCTTTGTCTGTTTGTTTGTTAAGGCAAAAAAGTTTTTTTTTTTTTTTTTTTTTTTTTTTTTTTTTTTTTACCCCCCCCCCTTCTGGGATTTAATTGTATTCATGAATATTCATAAGTTTTTAATTTTTTAAAAAGCCCCCCCCCACCAAAAACAAAATCTTTTTAAATTATTTATTATTTATCGACAATTTTCTTTTTTTTTTTTTTTGGTAGAAATAATTAAAATTTAAATTCAAATTAGTTTTTTAATTATAAACACAAAAAGAACAACAACAACAATAACAAACATAAATTTTTTAAAAGTTAAGTTGTTTGTTAATTGTTTCGTAACTACTCTTCATGTCAATAATAATAATAATACGAAAAAGAAAACCATTTAATTGATACCATTTATTGTAAAAGGTAATCGAAATGTTTAAGTTAATCAAAGTTTAGAAAAGAAATTGAAAGTTTATCATTAACATAATTATGCAAACATAATTTCATGAAGATTGTTTAAAGATATTTGGAAAAATTTTTATTCGAATGTGATCGAAATACAGTTACATAGACAAAAAGAAAATTATATTCGTAACATAATATTTTGAAATTATTATTGATTATATTTAATTTGTATTTTCAATATGTTGTAGTTTAATACTTTTTTATGGTCAAGAATTATGAAATAAACAATATGGACTGTAATATAATTTTACATTTTTTAATTATTTATTGAATTTTGTGTGAATCTTTTTTTTTTTTAAAAAAAAAAGAATAAGAGTATTAGGTTACAAAAAATTTTTTTATGTACAAAAATAAATACAAAAGTTTAAATAAAATATAATATATGAGATATATTATTGTTTCCTATGTTTAAAACCTGTCAAACTATATTTTTGATAAATTATTTTTTAATTAAAATTTATTTGATAATTTAAATCATGGTTTATAAAAATAATAAAACTGTCAACTAACATTGAATCATTCATTACATAAAAATATATGTATATGTATAGAGGTATCAATTAAATGATTATAATAAAATATAAATAAATGGAATATTTTATGTAAATTGTGTGTATTTATAAGAATTCTCGTTAAAAAATTTAAAAAAAATAACCGAATGAGAAAAATAGTAATATTAAAATTTGACATGAGGAGTAAAATAAACAAGTAAATTTTTTTTTAAAACGTTAACCTACCTTGAGGTGAATAATAATTTCAATAAGAACGAAATATGTTCTTGAGCACTTAACAAAAACGATTTTTTTATTTAAATAACTATGCTAATAACAAAAAACAATCAACAACGACGGAATAAAAAATAAATACACAGTAAAATTTGAAAAAACAATTGTCAACAACTCAATGCTCTCGCCATTTTGGCTTTCTTTTCATTCCTCCTCTTTTAAACGCTGCCTCCTGGATTTTTAATAATCAACTTTAAGTTAAATATTATTTCTTAAACGTAAACAACTTTTAAGTTTAAAAATTTAAAAAACTTTTTAATTTAAATACTTTAAATATTTAAAACGTTAAAAGTTTATTAATGATTTTTAAAATATATTTAAATGTTTCCCCTTCCCCTACCCCCGTTTTGTGTTTAAGAATTTAAACGTCATGTGAAAAAATAAAAAAATTATTCGTAAAAATTATTATTATTATTATTATTGTTTTTTTAAATATATTTTAAAGTTTTAATTAAATAATTAATACATTTTATTCTGTTATAAAAAAACTTTAAAAACGTATGTAAAAAATTTTAAAAAAAAAATAATAAAGTTTCATTTAGAAGAATTCAATTTGAAAATTTGAAAATAACGGTTATTTTATTGTAATGTAAGCATTAACAATTTTTCTCTTTTTTTTAAAAGAAAAGGTTCAGGTATAAATAAATAAATATATATATATATGTCATTGTCAAATAATTATTTTATTTATAATAATAATAATTTAAAGCTTATTTATATATATATAATTTTACAACAACAAAAAAGTTGTAATTATACAAACAAAACTAATGTGATATACTTCTATATATTTGTTTTTTAAACTTTTATGCGTTTCAAATAATATTTTTATTAAATATTATATATTTATATTTATTAGAAATAATAATAAATTTTGTGTAAAAACTCCTATTTTTAAAGTACTACAAAAGTCTTTTACAAAGATTTGAAATTCATTTAAAGTAAAATTTTTTAACAAGTGATGATGAGAATGTTTAAGAATTTCACACAAGAAACAAAATGGCTGATTCATATTCACAGATGAAATTTTAACATGATTTATTCAGTATAAATTATCATCATCATTACCATTATATATATATATTTTTGTATAATAAAAATTTATTAATCACAAAAACTAATTAAATAAATAAATAAATAAATAAATAAATAATTATATAATACATTTTTTTTTTTTTTTTTAAATTTTTTTTTTTTACATTTTTATAAATTAAATTAATAAAGGCATTATTTATATATATGTATATTTTTTTTTTTAGCGCAAGCATCGAATAAACCTATATATATATATATTTATACAAAAAAAAAAAAAATAGTAGGAACTAGTTAGAATGGGATTATAATTTTTCCTTTTTTTTTTTTTTTTTATTATTTTTTACCTTTTTTTTAAATTTTTTTTTTAAATTTTTTTTTGTTTGTAATAGAATAAATATAAAATAATTTTTTTTTTTTTTAAATAAGTTTTTCCCTTATTCTTTGTTCAATAATTTTCGTCATTGTTCAACACCCCAGAATTTTATATATACACGTGCATTTATTCATCACGTAAGCATTTTAAACAATAATCGAGAATTCTTCGAGAGAAAAACTAAAAAAAAAAAATTCTAGTCTTTAGACTAGTAGTAATCCTTCTCCATAATGGAAAGTCTAACCAAAAAAAAAAAAAAAAAAATTCTAAATTGTTTACTTATTGCTAAAACCAAAACAAAAGAAAAAGCACCATTTTGTAATTATTATCACCTTTTCTTTTATTATTTCATTTATACAATCTCGTTTGTTTTTTTATTATTTTTATTATTTTTAAAGTTCACTTTAACAGTACTCAACTCGATAAACAAAATAATAATAATAATAATAATAATAATAATAATAAATACATCGAAATCAATTTCAAAAAAAAAATATGTTGTACCGTGGCAATCAATGATCAAAAAAAAAAAAAAAGAAAAAAAAAAAAAAAAAATGAAAACAAAAGAGTGTAAGGAAGGTAAATTTCCTTTACTAGCTCCTTTGCGTGTCTACAATGTTTCGAAAAGCTGCTAACGTTTTTCTAAGTGTCAGACAAAAACCTCGCGACGCTGGCAACAGCGGAAATTCCGGTTGATCTTTTATAGTTTCTAAATTGACGAGTGATTTTTCCCATTCGAGATTTCTGTTGGTTATTGCTGTTGATACGGGATCTGATGAATTTGAATCTGTTGTCGTTTTGACATCGGAACCACCCCCACCACCACCACCGCCATTACCATTTCGAGGTGCTTGTAACAATTCACGTTCTGCACTTGTATCGCAAATATTTTTGCTCACTTGTTGATTGTGTCTCTCCGAAATGTCCAACCATTTTTTTAATCTTTCAACGAATCTAAAAAAAAATTCAAATTGTAATTTTATCATAAATATTATAAATATTATAAATAAATAAATAAAAAGAAAAAAAAGAAAAGAAAAATTTTTACCTATCGGCATTTTGAGCAAAGTGTTGTTTTATTTCATCTACGAACACTTCTGGCGGATTAATGTACATTTTGGTCATGGCTTGTACTAATTTTAAAATTGCCATTTCGTTATACATTCTAGAATTTTCCTGACCTTGTTGAGAACCTTTTTGTTTTTCGTAACCGGCTTCGTTAAAATATGGTTCGTTAACAAGAATAAGGCCTGAAAGAATAAGGGAGACGACGGGATAAATAAATAACGATCGTACACAATTTAAAAACAAACAGAAAACAGCAAAACTTTCAAAATGGCTTTACCCTGAATTGAAATGATAACTTGCAAAAGGTTAGAATTTTGAGTCCAGACTTCGGTTCCCTTTCCGCTCCATGTTCCGAGCAAGGATATACAAACTTTACCATCTTCGTAAAGATTTGGATTAAGTCTATCCGAACAATAACTTAAATAGTGACAAAGCGGAGGAGTTCTTGGATAATCACTGGGTAACTGAAAATCAAACACAAACAATCCATCTTCGAACGGGGTTTTTTCCGGACCTCGAATCATCACAGAATATAAATCCTTGAAAAAAAAAAAAAAAAAACAAATAATAATAATAATAATAATAATAATAATAATAATAATTAAAATGTAATTTTTAAAAAAACTTTTTTTTTTCTTTTTCCTAACCGTTCTATCTTCGAATCCTTTCACCCAAATTCCAGGCGGTAAAGACGTTCTTAAAAGCGTCAATTCTTTCTTAACGGTTTTGAAGAAAAACTTTGGATCAGTCATTTGACACATGGTCAATTTGTATTTGTGGCTGTTGGGAGCGTTCGACATGATTGAAAATCCTTCGTTATTGGTTTTCAACGGCTCGCTCATTTCCGATTTTTCCTCATTCGTTTTACCATCAGTCTTTTCTTCTTTTTGACCCGTCGTTGTTGCGTTTCCATCGTCGTTTGTTTTTTGCTCTTCGAGCGCTACGTTCTCGTTATCGACTTCGCTAAGCGTGACGGGAGCTTTGTCACCTTGAAATCTTCTCGTGACTTCCGCGTGAGCTTTCACCAATTGTGATTTAATTAACGCGCATAACTTGGCGCAAACTTGCGAAGGACTGCAGTCGTTCGAATTGGGATCGTGTTGTGAATCCTTTTCGCACGTCAAAAGTGGAAAAGATTGTTGAGCGTGAAATTTTAACTTTCCACTGGAACGTTTTTCCGGTTGAGAATGAAACGACCTCGACCCTAGTGCACCGATTATCAAAACTCCCTTTTTGGCATCTAGTATTATTTTTTCACTTTCGCAACCTTCATTCCCGTTTGTTTGCTTGCTGTTGTTATTGATTTGATTTGATTTCGAAAAGCAATCACAGTTGTCATTGTAAGATCCGGTGTCGGCGGATGCTGTCGAATGCTCGAAAACTCCGCTATCATCGGCTGAACTACTTTGAATTAATTGCCCATTTGTACTCCCGGGAGATTTTTCGGTACCGTTTGAAAATTCGTCTTCGGAAATACCACTTTTTGCATTTCCATCCGATTTTTCATCGTTGGTTTTTTCACTTCCTAAAAGCTTCGTTTTTAATATCGATTCGATTTCTAATCTATCCATATTTTTATTATTTTGTTCTAAAATTTTTTTGTCTAATGTGTCACTCAGGCTGGCTAACGTTTTATTGAATCGCTCAATGTCTTCCGTAATATCACCATTTAAATCGAGCGATTTTTTTGATTTTTCTAAATTTAATTCGTTATTAACTAATATTTTATTATTTTCTTTAATTCCAGCCGTATCGAGAACATCTTTGGTTTCCTCGGGTAAATTATTAATATTAACGCCTTTATTTTCCGTTTCAGCAAGGCATACCGAAGTGACGGGTAGGACACTCAACATGCCGCCGTCGTAAGTTTTAGCACCTTCGTTTTCTAAATCATATGAAACTAACATTTTTTCGCTATCTTTACCAGTCTTATAAGGTATATTGTCGCTTGGATTTTGAAATAAACGTGAAACTTGTTCGGCAACTTTAGAGCTTACACTTGCTCTTCCTTTTTCCCTAACTCTTTCGAGTAACCCACGGAAATTATTTTCGTGAAAAAATGACGTTCCCATAAGTTTATCTAAATATCTACAATCTTTGTATATTTCTAATAATTTTTTCATTATGTCTAAGGTCTGTAAAGCTGGATTTTGTGTAAATAATTCTTCCAAACGAGACATCGCAATTCGTGCTTTTTCAATGTTCGCTGCAAGTTTAGGCTTTATACTTTGATCTATCATTTCTTCCTCTCCTACGGAACTACCTTCCGATTCAGTTTCCCAGGAGCCTTCGCTGCTCCCATCGTCCCATAATTCTCCTTCATCCGAGTCGTAATCACCAACTTTATACAAATCCTGAGGCCAACACATGCTGACGTGACCGTCCACCCACCATACATAAACTCTACCTTCTGGATAATTATCTAAAACCTAAAATATATTTTTTAAAATTATGGTTTTCATAAATTGCTGCATGAAAATTCACATAAAAATTTTTTAATTATTACCTGTCCGGCTGTGCAAGTTGCATCTTCGCCTTCAAAATTCGCAACTCTTATTGTTACAGTACCCGGACGATACTGAAAATCTGGATGATCTTTTAAATCGTAAACGCTAACTTCGCTTTGCTCTAATTTTGTCGGATTGGGATTTTCCGAAGATGTATACGTGTGAAACCAATTAACGACGGCTATACGACCAGCATGATCGACACTTTGAACAACTCCGTAAACCTAACGTAAAAAAGTTACGTTGAATAATTCAATTAAAATTCTTTTGACGTATTCACGCTTTTACCACTCAATATAAATGACTGGATTTAAATACCCTAAGACATCCATCTTCTTTATTTTCCATCACGAAATCTCCGGGAAAAAATTCCTGATCATCTAAATGATGAATGGGATAAAGGTCGGTAGATGGAATATTTTGTTCTACGGTTCCATCTTGCCAAACAACATCCGCTGTTGAAGTAATGGCTAAAGCTTCTACAATTACTTTGGTATTTGGTTTAAGAACAATATTGGGCGTTTTTCGCCGGGCCCGACGTAACTTTTTGAATTTTAAAACTTTGGTCATTAGCGTTGGACTTTTTTTCTTTTTAGAACCTACTGTTCCGCCGCCACCGCCTGAAAAAATTTTTTTCAAATTAAAAAAAAAAAAGCTTAAACTTTTTTTAAACAAGTTATCTTAATGGAGTTATCTTACCTGTCGAAGATGAATTTGATGAACAGCCCGAGCTAATTGAAGCGCTATCATCTTGACTATTGCAATCATCTGTTTCCCAGTCTTCAGGAGGAGCAGTTTCAGGTAATTTAGTAGTAGTAACGGAATTTTTAACATTTTCTACATTATTTGAATCATTAGGTAGTACTCCATTGGTAATTTTCGCACCTTCATTAGTAATTTTAGAGGCTAAAATAAAAATAAATTTTTTTTTTAATTTTCCAAGTTTTTAAAAAATAATATCAAAATGAATAAATAATTATTAAAAAAAAATTATTTACTTTTATTATTTTTATTTTTATTATTGACTTTAAAAGGATTTGGTGACTTTTCAAGCATTATTTGTTTTTGTTGAGCTTTCCATTGATCTTTAGTCATTTGTATGTTATTTTCTTTAAATGTGTAATAAACCCTATCTCCAATCTGTAATGTGCATGGTTCAAAAACATCTAATAATTTTAGTTTTTTGAGATCTTCCCCTTGAATTATATAACTTGGCTGCTCTTTTAAATTACAAGCACCATCTGGAGAATAAGCATGGCATTGCCAATTTACAGTTACTGAATCTGTTTTAACTGCCTCTACAATAACCTAAAATATTCACATAATTCAATTATTTCTTTTTTCATATTGAAAATCTCATTGTAACTACCCACATTTTTTTGTACACAAATCGACTTACTTTTACATTTTTATGTGGTTTCGATTTTAAGGCCTTCAATTCTTTAGAACAATTAATCCAAACTGCTTCATCCAAAGCTTCTAAAGGTCCATATAAAACTTGACCTGGATGATAATCATTTCTATGGGAAGATTCATATTCTGATAATCGTCTTTCATCTAATTCTTCAAAAGCACATGCTTCAACATCTGTTATTATACATTTTGAACCATCAGCAAAAACTAGATGAAGTTTTGAACGAACAGTTTTTATCGTTCCAACCCATGAATCTAAGCAAACTGCCACATCAGGAGTGAAATCCTGTTAAAAATATAATTGAAATAAATTACTGATTATTAATTATTATTTAATTTTAGCTAAAAACTAACAAACTTCCATTTCATCAAATTTTCTACCACAAAATAAATAGTTAAACAAGGTTTAGTTACGAAAAATATATGTTTTTGATAAATAAACATAACCTAGGAATATTAGGTACTGAAAAATTAAATGGAATCAAAAATTTTAAGCTGCAAAGAACTATTATTATGTGAAATACTTCAAAAATATTTGAAACAGAAATTTTTTTATCTTTTAATAATTATTTAACGAGTTGTATAATTCTTTTTGACTGGACATTTGAGTTTAAAATTAAATTCATATTAATTGATATTATCAGTGATTAAATTAATTGAAATATTTAAAAATGTATTTCAGGTATATTTCATTAAGAAAATTAAATATATTAAATAATAACTGTACCTCAATAGGCATTAAGTCTTTACTATTAACATTTACTATCACTTGTTTTGTGCCAACAACTTGAACACAAGCTGTAACTTGAATATTCCTGCAATATCCACGCTGTGTATCTTTTCCACGTATTAATCTTCTCACTACATCGCCAGGCATTAAAGATCTGTCTGCAAGACCTACCTAAAATTTACAAATCATACACACTGTAACGTGATGTTGTCACGAAAAAAATTTTTTTTACAGATAAAAAAGATATAGGTTATGAAAAACATGTAAATAACATTGTTTTCTTTAAAAAATAAATAAATTAAAAACAGTTTTCCTTATTGAAAATAATGTAAAAATTAACGTCATTAAATAATAAATAAGAAAAAAAATTATAATTAACTTTTATTAAAAATGTATACCTTTTTTTCTTGAATAACTTCTTCTGCACCACTAGGATGCCACGCAACTCTAACGTGACCTTTTTTTATCCTGGCTCCTTCTTCAAAGTCGGAGTTCTCATCACTGCTAACCAACTCAGAATTTTCCAGTACCATGCCAAATTCAATAAAACCCTTTTTATTAATTCTGTAAACTTCATCTTCATAGAAATATTGGTGGTCCGCAGCCATGTTGATTTTGCTGTTGACGAACGGGAAAGTAAAACAAAATCTTTCAAATGTCTGCAGGGAAAAAAGTCGAAACATGAACAACCGCTTTATTTTATGATTTAATTTTCATTTACTTTTATTTAAAAACAAATGTGCTCGAGTGAAACAAACGAATTTTTTTTTATATTTTTTTTTTTTATCATCATACAAATGAATATATATCGTGATCATGTATGTGAGTATAAACAAAATACCTACTACTTTTACTAATTTATTATTTTATTTTTTTAGTTAACTATTTCATAATATAATTAAAACTAAATATTAGTGATACAAAGTTGTCTTCTTTTTAAGTTTACAAATACTAAATTAATTTTTCAAAGGAATAGTTGTAACTTTAAACTAATTTTAAATCGTTTAATTTATGTTAATTTTAATTAGTAAACTGTAAAACAATTCAATAATTTATTAATCGTTAAATAACTTTATAATTAACAAATTGTTTTCAAACAATTTTCCTAAAACCAAATATTTTTTTTACTGTCAATCATTTTTTCCAGTTTTTTTTTTTTGTTTCCCCTCAAAAATATTTTCTTTTGATAATCATAATACTTTTTTTCTTTTTCAGCCATACAATCTTCGCAGTAAAAAAAAATCAAGAGAACCAATTTTTAGTTATTCAGCAAAAAAATTTATGAAAGAAAAAAAATCAGAATTTGATCCAGTTGTACGTTTAGAAACAATAGATTTATTAAAAAATCCAAAAAATTTAAAATCGACATTTTATTTAAAAGGAAACAAAATTTTATTAAAAAAATTTAATATTAAATTCAATTCTAGATTAATATTAATAATAATTTTTTTTATTTTTATCACATCGACATTTTTATGCCATTTTGGTAAGTCAAATTTATTTGATGTGTTTTTTTTACAAAAAAAAAAAATTTTTTTATCATAAACAGCCCTCTTCACTTTTCTTTTTTCAGATGAAATAAAAAATGAATCTATTAACTTATTAGAAAAAAATTTATGGAAAAAAAAAACAAAAAATCCAACACGTGTAAATGATGATGATGCCGTATTTATTAATTTAAGTAATTCAGATAGGAAAGAAAAATTAGAAAATGAAAAAAAAAATGATAATAAACTAAGAGTTTTGATAAAAGATCAATTGAATGATATAAATAAATTATTTGATGAAAAATGTCCGAATCCTTATTTAACGAAAAATAATACCGAAAATGTTACGTTGGATTCAAATGAATTTTTCGATAAATATTTACCCTCAGTAGTACTTACAGATTATGCATTGGAATCAAAAGGTTATATTTTATAATAAATTATAGATTTTCTTTCTCTCCCCTGCCCCCCTGCCTTCCTCCCCTCCCCCCACTAACCTTTGGTTTTTTCGTTTTTCCAGGTGCAAAAATTTTATCAACATTTGATACAGAATCCTACGGTACTGTATCATTAAAATGGTGGAATTATAAATTAAATATTCCATATCAATTTTTTAATAATTTTTTTCATCTTTCGAAAGGTCCAAATTTAGTTTTAGTCGTGAGTTTTTCTTCTTCTCCTTATTATTAAAATTATTAAATGATAACGTTAATAATAATAATAATTAAATTTTTTTATAGCCATGGACAAAATCTGGTGACTGTTGGGCTTTTCAAGGATCCAAAGGTAGAATCGCCATAGAACTTTCTGAAAAAATAAAAATTTTAGCCGTTACGATCGATCATATAAGATTATCGGAAAATGAATTACAATCCGCACCTAAAAAATTTTCCGTTTTTGTAAATAATAATCATTATTATTATTATTATTATTAAAAAAAAAAGTGATTCGAACGAATCATTAATCAATAGTTTTATTAATTTTTTTTTTTTTTTTTTTTTTTTTATAGGGCGTTCTGGATAAATCAATTGATTTAAATTCTGATAAAATTCATTTGGGTACTTTTCAATATGACGTAACAGGATCGACGATGCAAACCTTTTTAATAAGTTCGAAATTAAAAATTCGTTTTAAAATAATTCAGGTTCAATTCGAATCAAATCACGGTAATAAGTATTATACCTGCATATATAAAATAAGAGTACACGGACATAGTTAACACAGTGTTATTTTTTTTTTTTTTTTTTTAAAATTATCCATTTTGAATTTTTTTAATAAGTATAATCAAAATTAATAATAATGATAAGTATGATAATAATAATGATAAACAAATTTATTGTAGAATTGTAACCATTTTTTTTTTTTTTTTTTTTTTTTTTTTATGATCAAAATAAGGAAGTTTGTTAAAAAATATTTTTAAGATTTTATAAGTGTAATTTTTTTTTTTTTTTTGTATAAAATAGATTTTATTAATTTATTTAATGTATTATGTATTAATTATTATTAAATTTTTATATATATATATTTACATAATATTAATAGTGTTATGTATAGTATGTTTAATAGCATCACGATTTGTAATTTTTATTTAATAATCATTTAAATATAATAATAATAATAATTTTGTACGTATTTAAGAAAAAATTTATTTACTTTTTGTTTCCCCCCTCCCCCTCCCTCTCTTCGATATAATTTCACATTTATTTTATTTAAAATTTCATAAATAAATAAAATGACGTTAATAAATTATTTTTACGTAAAGAAAAAAAAAAAAAAATAGAAATTCATTTTCGTCGACTTATTAAATTTAATTTAAATAGTCAGATCGTTATAAATGATAATAATAATAATAATAATAATAATTTTATTACGGCACAAAAAAAAATTTATTATTATTATTATATTATTATTATTTACTGAAAGTTTCAGTACAAATTTATATAATAAATACAAGAGAAAAAAAAAGCTTAAATTTACTGTTTTTATGACTTTATTGTAAAAAAAAATTTTAGAGATTTGGAATTTATAATAATAATAATAATAATAATAATAATAATAATAATAATTTTACAATTTACTCAGTATTATTATAATTTTATTACTGTAAAAAAAAGAAAATTTTTTTTTTACTGTTTTTTACGACTTTTCGTAAAACTTTCCAAACGTTTTATTACTGATATATTTTAAATGGAAATTGGAAAATTTTTTGTTAGTGTGTACAAAAAAAAAAAAAAAAGAATTTTGTTACTGTTTGGAATTAATTTTAAAAAATTTGTTTTTATAAAATAAAAATGTACTGAAATTAACATTTCGCCATTTTTTTTTTTTATATTGATAATCAATGAGCTTAAATAGAAAAATATAAAATTATTAAATTCACTTACATTTATATTATGTAGATCATTTTCCAACTGATACAAATTCATTTGTAACCACAACACAATTAAAAATAATTTAAATAAGTTTTTATTAACTTCTTTTTTTTTTTTTCCCCATTTAAAATCAAAATCCATTGTTATGAAAGATAATAATGATATGGTTGAAAAGGAAAATTCCAATTTTTTTTTTCTCTCTTCAATAAGCAGACTGCAATAATAAACAAAAGGAAGAAAATATTAATAATAATTGTGCATTATTGTGTGAACGACAAAAACAATAATTTTAATAGATAACTTTATTTATTAATTAATATTATTAATAATATGAACGTGTTTATAATTATTATTTTATACTTTAAAAACGCCATTTTCCTTCCTTTATCTAAAATTGAAATTATATTTAAATGTTTTCAATAAAACTTTTTCTCTTCTGCATTGAAATAAAACATTATTTTATTGATAAAATCTACTACCGTGAAATCGATGATGATAATGATTATTATGGCATAAAATGTTTAAAATAGATGGGGGGAAAATAAAGGATTGGATTGAATGGGTAAGAAGGAAAATTTGGAAAAAGTATGTTATCAATCGGCTAAACCAATTGATAATTATTTTCTGTCGAAGGAAGAAAATTAAAATTAAGATCAGCAAAAAAAAATTTTTTATCTCAAATTTTTTTATTTCAAAAATGTTGTGAGGAACGAAATTTCGATTCTGTTGTTCAAAAAATGTTTCCCCGAATTCTATAATTCACATTAATGAATACAACTTCAATCATCAGGTGGTACCTAAAATCAAAATTTATTATTACTATAATTTTTTTTTTGTATTAATTGATGATTTTATAGTGTGTCATCTAATAAGTAAGAAAAAATAATTTAAAAAATTTAATTATGAAGGTTTATCGAAATCGTATTATAAAAATTAATGATTGATTTAAATCGTTTTTTAAAAGTAAAATGTGGTTCTATCCAGTTCATACTTTTTATGTTGAAAAGAATTAAATAAAATAATTTTTTAAAGTGAATAAATTAATTAGTTTACCTGACTGGCCCAGTTATCACTGTTTCCACCAAAGTTTGAAACATTCTGAGATGCCATTGACACTTCTTCAGCCCATCTTGCCGTTTGTCCATCTCCTTGGCCAGTAACCAAATCATTCGAAAACACTTCCGGTTGTCTGATGATTTCATTAGACAATCTAAAATTGTCATCAACCTGAATAACCCAAAAAAAAAATATTAAAGTTTTAGTTAAATTATAAAAAAATACACATTTTTTAAATAACAATACTGACTTTGGATGATCCAGCCAATTCTTTGGTGGCTTGGTCATCTTTTTCAGCTTCTTCTGGATCTCTGTAGAAGAATAAGTCAACGACAACATCCCATTTAGTTTCTCTAGGAATTGAACCTAAGGCAAATATTAAATTTAATTAAAAACTGCAAAACATTATATTAAATATTAAAATATATATAATAATGAAAATACCTCTAAGTCGTAAAACTTCTCTCGCCAAGAGCCACCACATTAAACCGATTGAGTGTGGAGCTTTGTTGTTGCAGGGAATTGCAATGTCGACAAATCTAAGAGGTGAATCAGTATTGCAAAATGCAATTACAGGAATATTAACATAACTGGCTTCAGTGATAGGTTGATGGTCAGTTTGAGGGTCAGTAACAATAAGGAGCCTAGGCTCTCTGAAAGCAGCCTGAATCTGATTAGTAAAAGCTCCAGGAGTGAAACGACCAGCAATAGGTGTGGCACCTAAACAATTACCGCTTATTAATTTCGAAATATATTTTTACAGAATATTTTTAAAAAACTGAAAAGAATTTTGAAATTTTAACCTGTGTTGGCAGCAAATTTAAGAACAGCTCTTTGCCCATACAATCTAGAAGAGATAACAAACACTTCGGATGGGTGTTCAATGGCCACAATAGCCCTGGCAGCCAACAATAATTTTTCCCAAGTTTTTCTCAAATTAATGATGTATATTCCATCAGCTTTCCTTTTGTAGACATACTGTTCCATTTGGAAATCGACATTATCATTCCCTAAGAAAAAACAAATCAATATTCAGAAAAAATCATCATATTTTAATATTTATTAAATAAAAAAAAGTTCATAGTTTCTTACCCAAATGGGTGCACGCCACCAACATTTTTGTAACATCGTCTTCTCGCAAAGACAAAACATCTAGACCTCCGGACATTGTTAACGCTTTTTAAGTAACGAAACCTAAATAAAAAAAAATTTTTATTAAATAACACGAGCTCAAGAAAAACATGAGTAAAACTACGTATGAGAGTAAAAACGTGGATGCCGTGCACGCCGCACATGGTAGTGATGAGCGTTTATTTTTTGAAATATTTTAAGAAAATACAACGTATACACGCAAATAATAATTAAAAACGAATTGTCGAATTTAACCACTTTAATAATAAAAGTTTTATTTTCGCAAATACCAAATATTACCAAGGTTATAGAAAAAACTTACGTTTACAAATTGCCAAATGGACAATCTAGATTCTAAAATCTAACTTGTGAGGAAGTGATTCAAGAATTGTCGCACGTTTAAATATCTGTCGCCACTTTGTTAATTTCCCGCGAATAAAGCAACGATTGAGTAAATGGATGTTAAAAATTACAATTTTTTTTTTTATAATCAATTTAGTATTATTTATTTAACACTGTGATTGTTTTTAAGTTTACGAAAGTGTTTAGTGAACTAATTTATCAATAAAATATATTTAACCGTGTCGGAAACATACAAAAAACAACGATTTTAACGATACTACATCTTATATAAAAAATCCAATAAGAAAAACGTATTTAACAAGATGGATATGTTTTTTCAGTGTTTAAAATCACACATTTACAAATTTTTACAGGGAATATAGTGTTAAAAAATTACATGGAATTGTTTTCTTAAAGTATGTAAGTAAATATTTACTACTATTTAGGTTATTAGCATATAAATATCCAAAAAAATGAAAACAATTTAATATGTATATATGCATGAAAAATTACCTATCAAAAAAATTAGCAAAAATATTATTTAAAAAAAATGATTAAACGTATATAAAAACGTAATAAAAACGGTTGATAAATAATTAACAAAAAAAGAAAAAAAAAAAATTTAACATAATTAAAAATAAAAAGTAAAGTGAGTAATATAAATGATGTAGAAATGGAGACAGCGCGTCTCGTTCCATATAGTTTTTTGGAAAATAATCGTTTGGGGCGTCGTCGTCGTCTGCTACAGTCGGCAATGAGCTTTAAAAAGTATCGCATCGTTTTCCCGTCAATTTTCTAAAATTTTCCGTTTGAAACAAAAAAAAAAAAAAAATTAATAATAATAATAATAATAATTTTTTTTTATATCCACATGTGCTTTAAAAAAAAAAAATTTTTTTCCGTTTATTTATTTATTTTGTTGAGGGAAGTAAAATCGCGAATTTTTTTTAATTATTAAAAAAATTTCAAGTTTATGTTTATAAAGTGTGACAAATTTAACTTAAATAAATTTTTATTTATTTATTTATTTTACGTTTGAAAAAATAATTTTAATGTGCGTAAAATGATATCTCGTGTTAAATAAATGGATATTTAATATGAAAATTTATTTTTTTTATTTCGGTAAATATTTTATTTATTTATATTTCAATAATTATAATACGCGTACGAAATGGCAACACTGCATAAATAATCATATTTACACGTAAATATAATTAAAATAAATTAATTTTGACTCGTGGTAAAAGAAAAACAAAAAAAAATTTCCTTTTTGTTTTGTTTTGTTTTAACTCTAAGTATTTCCGGTCATTCGTTATCATTATTATTATTACTATTATTATTATTATTATCAATATTTTTGCTCTTTGTTGTTATTATTTCTCGTCATCTCGTCATTTTGCCTGTCAATTTTTTTATGTATATAATTTAATCGTGAATTTAAAGAGTTTTTATTCTGCTCGTATCCATTTTTTTTGTAATATTTTTATGTTTCCTTTGATGATACTTCTACACCATCACCACCACTACCACCACCACCACCACCCTTACTGTCAGTTTTTTGTAAAGTATTTTCTAATTCTCATTTCTATTTCTGTTTTTGACAGTTATTCTACAAAAGAGTTATTCGCATATTAAAATATTTATATATATATATATATATATTGTTATGATCCCGTACTCAATATTCACATTTTCAACTTTTTATAAACAAAAGACTGGCGACGAACTCAAATTGTTCTTCTTTAGAAGCGAAGCTTCTAAAGACTATTTCTTTTATTTTATTTGCAAGTGTTTGCTAGTTCCCATTGTTAAACGTTCGAAACAGTTGACTGACGAAAGACCAAAGTAATATAGTCAAGCTACACAGCTTGGCGTTGGTTCATTTGATTTTTAGTCTAGCTGTAATAAGTTCTTGTTTATTAATATTAGTTTTGTGATAGTTTTAAGTGCTTGTTCATTACTTACAAAAATAAAGAACGAACCGAATATAACATATTAAAATTTTGGCGCAGTCGATGAAGGATCATTCTGAACGACAAGAAACCGGAGAATTCTTAAGTAATTCGTTTCATGTTGGTGGGTTTTAACTCTTTATCAGAATTTCTTTATATTGTAAGTAGTAGTAATAGGTAACTCATTTTGTGAACAATGCCTAAACTTGATCAACCTGTTTTCAACCCATCCCAAATACCCCTTGATTTCTTGTGTAGTCTAATTCCTAATTTCTTTTCCGGAGAAAGGAACCAACTTAATGCATTTATCTCTGATTGTGATAATGCTATCGAATTGTCCTCTGAAGAGAATAAGTATCCACTCTTCAGATTCATCTACTCCAGAATCACTGGTAATGCCAAGATTCGAATTTCTTTGTACGATTTTGATAATTGGGATGACGTAAAAACGAAATTAATAGAATTATACCAAGACAAGAAACCCCATAGTCAACTGATAAAAGAATTGATTAATCGCAGACAAAAATCAACATGTATCCACTATGAAGATAACACAATAAAATTGTGGGAAAAACTTAAAATTTTAGAAGTTACAGAATCCAAACTTGAAGTTGAAGAGAAAACAGATCCTTTACCAGAATCCAAACTTGAAGTTGAAGAGAAAACAGATCCTTTACCAGAATCCAAACTTGAAGTTGAAGAGAAAACAGATCCTTTACCAGAATCCAAACTTGAAGTTGAAGAGAAAACAGATCCTTTACCAGAATCCAAACTTGAAGTTAAAGAGAAAACAGATCCTTTACCAGAATCCAAACTTGAAGTTAAAGAGAAAACAGATCCTTTACCAGAATCCAAACTTGAAGTTGAAGAGAAAACAGATCCTTTACCAGAATCCAAACTTGAAGTTGAAGAGAAAACAGATCCTTTACCAGAATCCAAACTTGAAGTTGAAGAGAAAACAGATTCTTTACCAGGATCAATTCCTGCTCAAGAGGAAAAAGCACCCTCTACAAATTTATCTAAGAAAAAGGCTAAAGAAGCACCCTCTACAAACTTATCTAAGAGAAAGGCTAAAGAAGCACCCTCTACAAATTTATCTAAGAGAAAGGCTAAAGAAGCACCCTCTACAAATTTATCTAAGAGAAAGGCTAAAGAAGCACCCTCTACAAATTTATCTAAGAGAAAGGCTAAAGAAGCACCCTCTACAAATTTATCTAAGAGAAAGGCTAAAGAAGCACCCTCTACAAATTTATCTAAGAAAAAGGCTAAAGAAGCACCATTACTTCCTAAAAATAAAAATAAGAAAAAAGGTCTAAAAGTAAAAGAAGAAAGATCATCCATACAGAATTCAAAACCTAAAAATAATCCTAAGGCTAAAATTCAAAAGAAAACAAAAATTTCATTTATAACTAAAAATATAGGAGCTACTAAAAAAATTCACAAGTATAATTTTGGGAAGCATACTAAAAAGCGGAAATGGAATTCCAGTACCAAGAAATCTAGGAAGAAAGCATCCATTCTTATGTCAACCGATTTTCACGAAGAGAGTATTCCTGAGGTAAAGCTATTTTTACTAAGTAAAGTTCACCTATCGTCTAATGAAAAAGAGAAGATTCAAACCAGTCAAAAATCAGCAAGAACAAATCCAATTAAAAATAAAATAAAAGTCAATGAAAAACTTAGTCCTAAATTTAAGGGTCCATACGAGGTCAAGAAAATATCTGGCAAAAATGTTTTATTAAAAATCCGTAACAAGGAAGTTACTTATCACAAAACCGTGTTCTGAGTAGTTGATCTAAAGAGAGAAATCCAAAATAATAATAATTTAATCCTTTTATTTTTCCCATATAGCTAATCATCATTTATTTTATTATTAATCCATTTATTCTTTTCTATGTACCCTATATAAAATTCTTGTATTTTTCAGAACTTATGTCAATTTTGTTTCGAATTTCATGTCTTTTGATTTTATTCTTTTATCCTTACTCTTTATGAAACAATGTTCACTAACGAGTATTGCCTAGGAAAGGTTCTACTACTTGCAGCTATAAAGCTTAAAATGATGTTCCTGATAAGAAGCCAATGTGAAGAGATACAACAGTCTACCATACAGAAGACATAGCACCTACTACTACTCAAGGAGTCTCAACCTGGACGGAACCATTCAGAACCCGACATAGGAAACTGTCAAATCCGAACAAGAGGAGAAAACAAATTCTTTTTTCAAAATAATTGTTTTCCGTCTTAAGGGGGGAGGTGTTATGATCCCGTACTCAATATTCACATTTTCAACTTTTTATAAACAAAAGACTGGCGACGAACTCAAATTGTTCTTCTTTAGAAGCGAAGCTTCTAAAGACTATTTCTTTTATTTTATTTGCAAGTGTTTGCTAGTTCCCATTGTTAAACGTTCGAAACAGTTGACTGACGAAAGACCAAAGTAATATAGTGAAGCTACACAGCTTGGCGTTTGTTCATTTGATTTTTAGTCTAGCTGTAATAAGTTCTTGTTTATTAATATTAGTTTTGTGATAGTTTTAAGTGCTTGTTCATTACTTACAAAAATAAAGAACGAACCGAATATAACAATATATATATATTAATGAATTTGAAACGTGATGTTAGGGATTAGTAAAATCATTCAAAACAAAAAAAACCCGCGCTTTTTTATTTATAAATAATAATAATAATAATTTAAAAAAAAAACGTTTTAATTATTTTTTTTTTTGAATTCGGGTTTGAA